AATATATAGCAACACGGCTCAATTCCGGATTTTATTACTACCGATCGGTTTTTTGGGGGGCTTGGGCACATTTTCAACACAATTAGCTCTTATTTTATTTTTCAGGTTCTCATGGACGGCCAAATCTCCCTACCAAAAATTATCGATATCGGTTAACTTTGGGTGTAGCTCCCATAAACGGTACCGACCCTATCAGTCGATGTTTTGACATAGTCCCAGCTCATTTTCGTTATTATTACGCTTTGCTGAGTTTATATGGAAAAACTTCAAATCAGCTACGGCTTCAATTCAGCCTCGCTGAATACGGATTTCTTTAATTCAACCTGGCTAAATAAGGTTTTTGATAGGAAATCTTCAATTCAGCCTGACTGAATAAGGGTTTTGTTAGAAAATCTTCAATTCAGCCTGACTAAATAAGGGTTTCGTTAGGAAATCTCCAATTTAGCCAGGCGGATAAGAGTTTCGTTAAGGAATCTTCAATTCAGCCTGGCTGAATTAGAGTTTCGTTAAGAAATCTTCAATTTTTATTAGGAAATTTTTAATCCAGCATGTCTGAATCAGGGGTTCGTTTCGTTAGAACATCTTCAATTCAGCTAAGCTAAGCACCACACTTATTTTTAATTTGTTTTTCTTTAAAAATCGGTAAATATCAGAGGTAGTTCTAATTTTTAAAATTCATGGCGCCCAAAAGTATACACCGGCTCTGTAATGTATCAGAGACTCACATATGTTCAGTATTATTATTTTGATTTTTTCCTCAAACCACACCACCTTATCAATATCGGTTTAGATTTTGATATGACTTCCATTCCCAGTCTTCCCTTTTTTCACTTTTTTGGTAATCCTACCCTCTTTGTGGCATAAGTGACCAGTAATGTCTTTCCTATGCTGTCTAGCTAATGTTGATCTTCCTCCACTTGCTTCCCTCTTCTTTCCCCCTAGTACTACTACCCTCCCAACAAAAAACCCCATTATATATTCCGTTTCTATTGGCGGTTTCATTTGTCTTTTTCGGTGTCTTTTGGATTTTTGTTTGGTTTTTTAGTTCTCTTCCTTTTTCTTTTCTGTTTTATTAAACGATTTTCTTTTTTGTTGTGTATTTGTCTTTAGCACACATTTAAAAAAAAAACGAAAGATAAACTAACTAATCTTTAAATGAAATGATAAATGTTGTACAAAACTACAAATTGCTCGAAATGTCGGTTTTTTTCAAAACATTATAAAAGCTGGAAATGATGGCTGTGACATGGAAAAGATGTTTCGTTTTTTTTGTTTTTGCTTTTGACTTACTGGACTATTTGAAGAAAGAAGTTAACAAAAAAAAAACACAACTACAAAACTGTCGAAAAAAGACATTTACCACACGCACACACTCATACATATATAAGAGAAATTTTGCAGTCATTTCAAAAATCAAAGATCAGAGAAGATGAAGAAGACAGGAAGTCAAGACAAGAAAAAAATTAAAAAGTAATATAATTTTGTTAGCTTGTTTCAATAGGAGATGGAGTAAAATAAATTTGCTTTAAAAAAATTATAAAAATGTCCTCTATTCGATACTAAAAAGTGTTACCATTTGAGTAGCCTAAAAGTATGCATCGCACCTTGAATTTAATTTTTAGTTATTCATATTTATATGTTTCCCAAAATAAAGGAATCAAATTTCTCAGGTCTTCAAATAAATTCGCCACCAAGAAATCAGACTATAGCATAAAATCAGAAATTACCAAAATTAGGCCATCATTGCCTAAAAGTATGCCTCAGACTTTAACTTGAGCATTACAGCAAAGCCTGCAGGATAGGCCCCACATCATCACGAAACAGGGAACAATAATTTGTAACCTCACCCCAAGTTTCTAAATATACAGTCAAGAGCACGACTCCAGACTATAAAAACAAATTTGGCTTGCAGTAAAAAAAGGAGCCTAAAAATATGCACCATGGCTTGCCAGATCTTCAGAATATCGCCAACTTAAAATAATGAATATTAAAAATTGATTTAAGATATTAACATATCCTCATTTCCTGGCTAAAATTTCTCTGTTCTTCTGGATTTTATACAACATTGAGTTACGACATTATAGCCTAAAAGTATGCCCTACACCTTAACTTAAGTATGCCCTACACATTAACATCAACCCAAATTATCAGATTAAAAAGTTTGCGGTTTTCATAACTACTTCAATTTTAAATGAGGCATGAACAATCATCGCATTATGGAAATAATAAAAATTAAAGAATAGCCTAAAAGTATGCACCACACTTTACCTTAATTTTAAATTATATGTGTAACCAAATTTTCTGGATTATAATTTCTCAGATCTTCAACAGTTTGCACAATTTTAATTTCTTAGAAGAAAAAATATTCAGATTATAGAAAAATTAGTACAGCATTGCCTAAAAGTATGCACCATACTTTAAATATCATTTTAAATCATTACCAGCTCTTAAATTGCTGAGACATCTCAGCTCGTATAACCTTTTGGTGGACTTTTTTTAACAACTCCTCGGAACTAACAGTTTAATTAAATTAAAAATGTGTTGTTGTTGTTGTGCTGATTTTCCGCCACACACACAAAACGGGAAATTGTCATTATTTGCTGATGCTGAAAGCCATAATTAAAGCGCACTCACACGCTTCATTGGCAATGACAATTGGATTTTTGTGTTTTTTCTCTCTCTGATCTTTTATCATTTTTCAAACATTCCATGTTTCCATATATCGCTCCCACCACACTCCCCCTTTTTTACAATTCATGGCCAAGGATGAAATATTGTTCAATTTTTCTGTACGTGTTGTTGTTTTTTATTTTTCTTCTTTGATTCATTAGCAAAAGCCTCTTTTGCCCGCAACTTCCTTTGGCATCATGGCAAAATAGTTTTTTTTTTTCATTTCAATTAAGCATTTCAAGTTGAACAACAAATAAATATCTGAAAGCGAAATGAAAATGAAAATTTGCTCTTCTGCCATCCCGTACCTAAAAGCGGACTTTTGCTCTACATTTTCGATTCCGGATGAGAATGACTGCCCCTCAAATTAATCACTTTTTTGTTTGCTGTTGTTGTTGTTATAAATTATTGTGGCCTTATAAATTAACTAACTGCCAGACAAAGGTCACATCATTAATATCACTCATACGTAAGGTATATTTTTTCGGCTGCTCCTGCTACTGCTGAGTTTTGTACGTGAGAAAGATTTTTAATTTGTTTCACCAAAAATAAATAGGGCATCATTGCCTCATACTTCCATTGGGAGGGCAATGGGAAATGCCACTACCAAAAATAATTTTTTTCTCTAAGACCTCAAAAAATGGGGGGTGGTGGTAATGGGAAACCCCCCTCTTTTAATTCAATTATGTACCAAAAATATATCTCGCCCCAAGACCGCAAAAAACTGAGGGGGTTGTGGAAAAACTTAATTAAATTTGCAAAGCCAGGAAGTATCTTCGAAGACCAACAACAAATTGATGTTTCTAATTTCCTATGCAATTAATTTAAATTATTAAAATATTCTGCCTTCGGATAAATCTCAGGTGATTATCAATCTAACCTCGGGTGCTGATATGTCAACTTACTTTGCAACAAAACAGGGTAAAATATGGATCATTCTAGGGCTAAATTAACAAGGAAATTAATAAATAGACTTAATGGTATTTTATAAATCCTAAAAGTATGCACCACACCCTGAATTTAGGACCATTGGTATATAAAATTACCAAAAAGGCGAAATGCTAAATAAAAAATCTTCAAATACACTTTTTGTATATTAACATTGCAATATTTTTTAATTTATATATTATGTTAGCCTAAAAGTATGCACCAGACACGAACTTTTAATTCAAATAGGACATATGTACTTCAAATAAAATTTGTTTTAGGTTATGTGATAGTTTCTTTTGCCAAAGTAAATTTGATCGCTATCCTGCACAATTTCTAAACTGGATCCTAAAACACTGACAACCTCAAAGTATGCACCACACTTTGATCTCATTTTAAAAATCCATCCAGGGTTTTAGAAAATCTCAACAAATTTTTGAAAAATGCTTGCATTAATACTCCTTGCAGCTCTTTGTTATAGACATCAACTGGGTTTACGAAAAACTATTTACAAGGAATATTAATGTACCCTAAAAGTATGCATCACACACTTATTTGCAGTTATAATCAAATGTGTGGTAATTTTATACACTTTATTTAATATAAATATACTCTCAGAGTCTGAAGGACAAAAATCTTCATATATTTTAAAGTCTTTAAAAATTAAGTATTTCTTTCCTCCCTAAAAATATGCACCATTCACTCAATTATTTGTTATTTCCTTATGAGATTATTTTTGTTCTAGAATAAAATGTTCTTGAATTTGCCATTAGGAAGGATTCCCTTAAAAAAAGTCTTCTAGATATTAGGTCAGTAAAAAATATTTTTTTTTTAAATACATTTTTAAAAAATCCAAGCCTATGTTATGCCACCAAAAATGTCAGAAAAAAATCTCCTTAACCCCTCACAATATATTTCATAAAACAATAAACAATTTCCTTTTCTCCCAACCAAAGCTAATTTTCTCTCCCCACCCCTAAAAATATGCTACATTCTTTGCAAAAATTATTTCCCCCCATATCAAGGCACACAAGAAAAAGTCAGAAAAGTAAGATTTATTGATAGCTGTCATTAAAGTATTTTTCAATATATGAAACAAATTATTAACATGTGAGATAGAGGGGTGGAGAGAAAGGAAAATATTTTTTTCCCCTAGAAATTTAATACCCCAAACTAATCCCCCCTCTCATACATAGAAGAAAAAAAATATGTCCACCAAAAGGTAATTGCCTTTTGTCACCTAGCCTTACACACATAGCCATATCTATACGCACACACACACACACATGCACAGTGTAATATTTGTGGCATCAAAATAAATAGATTTCCCATCCCTTCCTTTCAGTTTGTTTTTGTTGTTGTTTGCTATAAATGCTTCATAAATCTCTGTCAGTTAGACTTACCAATTGTTGTTATCAGCGTCAGCGAATAGAGAAATGCCGAGGCATAGGTCCATTTGTGTGAGGGCGGATTCATAGGCACACCTGTCTGATGGATTTTCGATTGACGCACCGAACGCAGCAATGTATCCTGGAAATTGTAACAAAAAAATAATTCAAATATTTATTATTCAGAAATACCACAATAAATTATGGGCAAATAAGAGATAAAAAAATAAAAAAACAAAACTTTGATATTCACCTGAAAATGTTGCACTTCTTGAGCAGCCAACCGCGTCCAATTCTCCTTGTACAAAATATTTAAATCCTCTGTTATCGACCAAAGACGATCAACCGTTCTAGAAAACAAAAATAACAAAACAACAATAAGCTATGAATAAATATTGACAAAACAAAAATATTATTTGCAGAAAAAAGTTTTCAATGGAAAACAACCACCAAATAAACCAATAATTGAGAAATTATTTATTTTCTTGCAAAATCGAAAAATAGACATCTCTGACACCTACATAAGCTGCTGTCAGGATTTATTTTTATGGCGCTCTATTAAATGGAAATTCAAATATACATTATTTTCAGCTAAAATCGATTCTCTTGTAATTTTGATAAACAAAAACGCCTAAAAGTATGCACCATGTTTTCGCTATAAAGAAAAAAACTTATTCGGCGGAAAAAAGGCATATATATATATATATATATATATATTTGTGTGGAAAAATCCTCAAGACCCTGAGAAGATTTTTTTGTATATGGAAAAAAGTACTTTTGGCCGGATTCGAGCATGTTTTTCTATACATAACAGTTCTCTGAGCCACAGCACAATTTTTTCCTACAGAAAAAAAGTATTCCGAACCCCAGATCATATACTTCAATCTACGAAAAAAAGGCCTCAGTGGACAAGAGCACATTGTATGGGAAACACACTCATGAAACTGAGAACAAACGGCTGTATCAAAAAACTACCTTTGGCCTGAGCAGAGCCGGTTTTTCTATAGACAATAGTACTCAGAACAGGGTTAACGAACCACCACATCACATATTGGCTTTGATTGTGTTTGTCTCACAGACAAGGTCCGTGGTGATTATTTTTCGTGCATATTTAAGAAACAAGCGACAACCCAACCTCCTTCATCAATTGCTCATACGAGACTAATCTGTTGGCTCGTTGTTTGTAAACAAGCAACCACTTGGTTGTGGAATTACAGTGGTGAACTGTCGTTTATTCAACAAAACTATGATTGTATGAGTGCACACAGAAAGCGCCCGCGGGCGCTGTGGTGGCGATGGTGGACTCAGAACCAGGACACATTTTTTCATATAGGAAATACGAAATATAGAATTTATTTAATTCTATAGAAAAAAGTTCCCAGTTTACTAGACCTCATCTTATGGGAAACATTCTCAGGGTCCTGAGAGCAAACGGTCCTATGGAGAAAAACTTCAACGTCTAAGCAAAAATTATGTGGAAAAAATTCTCAAGACACCGATGCGTACGTCCCTGCCTCATCCTATAAAAAATGCCTCTGTAGACAACGTCTAAGCAAAAATTATGTGGAAAAAATTCTCAAGACACCGATGCGTACGTCCCTGCCTCATCCTATAAAAAATGCCTCTGTAGACAAACGGCCTTATGAAAAAAAAACTCAGGGTCTACGAAAAATTTGTGTGAACCGAACCTGTGAAGACTTAGCAAATCTAATTTTCTTTTGTTTTAATTTCTTTCTACGTGTCCTTGAGCCTCTAAGGTCATTTTTCTATGAAAAAAATTCTCAAAATAAAAAAACAAGTTTTCTTGCCCTCGTCCTTTCCTATCCTTAGGCTCAAGTGACAATCTTCATTTAAATAAAATGTTCTCAGGTTTTACGTTAGAAAAAGAGTCCCCTTGTTTTGATCTCCACATTATTTTTTTTTTTTTCAAATGAAAAACCAAGTCCTGTGTCATCATTAAATCGTTTTCGTTTATATCCCTAAAACTATGCACCACAAATTTTTAGAAAAGATAAAAAAATAAAAAATTGTTGTTAAGTCCATAGAAAAATTCGTATATTTTATATCAAGTCTGTAGGAAAATTTCAGTAATAATGAAATTTTTGTGATTTGAAACACCTAAAACTGTGTACCTAACCAGGTGTGGTGCATAATTTTAGGGGGGTTTGAAATGACAAAAATTCAATTATTAAAATTTTTTAATTTTTATTTCTGTTTGATGATCGTTCGTTATTTTATTTTTTTTAAGTGATTATTTATACTCTTTCGAGTCGAGCTTGATGATCTAAGTTTTGCGCAATGAAAAGGAAAGCCAGGAGAAAAACCTACGTACCCACCATTATGCGACTCGTTTCGCCGTTGGTTAAGCGGCTCATCAGGCATATTGGGCTATGTGGCTTTACAAAGGTCGTACGTAGATAACTTGTATTTATTCCGCCCTGATGCGAAACTTGCATATGCGAATTAAATTCAAATTTTGTCAAAGTTCGACATTTGTCTTCATTCTAGGAACAGTCCTTTTCAAAGCAGATTTTTTGTTGTAGCGATGGATAATTAATTTTTATTTTAAAATTTATTTGATTTGATTTTTATTAATGATGTAAATTTTATTACTTTTGATAAAGGACCGATTTTTTTTTAATTTCGTAAATATTTTTTATGAAAAATACCATTTTTTGTTGGTAAAGTTTTCAGAGAGTGTTGCATTGGTTTAGGGGTATATAAAAAGTTCCAATACAAAATAGTCAATAGAAATACTCAAATGCTAAATAAAGAATCCAATTTTTTTATTTTTGACGATTTTTTCAGAGACTGTTGCATAGTTTTAGGAGTAAAAACAAAATATCCTTCAACAAAATATTCAACAAAATATCCTCAAATGTTATATTAAAAAATCTTCAAATTTTGTTCCCTCAGAAGTTTTTCAGTGAGTGTTGCATAGTTTTAGGGATATATAAAAATATATCCCTAAAACTATGCATCACACAATGTTATTAAATCGAAATTTATGTAAGCAAATGTCATTGACTAATAAAAGGAAAATATCCTTAAAAACAAAATTCAATAAATTATCCTCAAATACTAAATTAAAACCAGTAAGGAAAGTAGTAAAGTCGGACGGGGCCGACTATATGATACCCTTCACCACTATGGGTATATATTATTAGGACTATTAACATGAAATTGGATGAAATAAAATATCTGATATTTATCTAAATGTGAATCTACCTAGATCTATCCATAAACATGTCATTCGTTAGTTACAATGGGCTTCAAACAAACATAAATAGGTCATCCGTTGGGCTATGTCTGTACTTCTAGAAAACGCAACTACATAATTCTATGCTCAATTTTGTACGTTGTGCAAAATATGGGAGCTATATAGAAATCGGGACCAATTTTCTTGAAACTTGACAGACATCATTCTAGGCTCAATTCAGTACGTTATGCCAAATTTCGTGCAAATCGAAGGATATATAGGGACTTTGGTGGACCATTTACCTAAAATCGGACGAAACTATATATGGGAGCTATATCTAAATCTTGACCGATTTTCACGAAACTTGGCAGACATCATTCTAGGCTCAATTCAGTACGTTATGCCAAATTTCGTGCAAATCGAAAGATATATAGGGACTTTTGTGCACCATTTACATGAAATCGGACGAAACTGTATATGGGAGCTATATCTAAATCTGGACCGATTTCCACGAAACTTGGCAGACATCATTCTAGACCTAAATGATTAGGCTGTACCAAATTTCGTGCAAATCGAAAGATATATAGGGAACGTTTACATTAAATCTTTTAAATATATATATGGGAGCTATATCTAAATCTGAACCGATTTTTCCCAATTTCAATAGGGTTCGTCCTTGGGCACTTATTCGGCCCAAGGACGAACCCTATTGAAATTGGGAAAAATCGGTTCAGATTTGTGCCAAATTTCATCGAAATCGGATCATAAATGCGACCTGTACTTTGTTTACAATTTAACATCTACAGACGGACGGACGGACGGACATGCATAAATCGACTCAGAAAGTGATTCTATGCATATTCTCAAAAGGAACCCTGGGTCTATCTCGTTTCCTTTTGCCTGTTACAAACATATGCACAAAGACATAATATCCTGTACCACAGGGTGGTGAAGGGTATAAAAATCTTCAAATGTTTCCCATCAAAGAGTTTTTCGGAGAGTTTTACATAATTCTAGGGGTATATAATAGAAATATATCCCTAAAATTTTGACAAAAATTATTTTTTTTTCTAAGAAAAATATCCCTATATTAAATTTTCGTCAGAAATAATAATGAAAAAATTGTCTCAAAACCTTAAGGGGTTTAAATTAAATTGTAGATATATATATATAGGTTTTTGTATTACAAATAAATTATTTAACTCTGTAAATATTTTCCCAGTAATCATGATTTGCAAGAAATCAAATGAAGTTTATTTTTCTTTTCAGTTCAGATCAAAATAACAAAAAAAAAAAAAAAACCCAAATAGTTCACAGAATAACCTTACTTTGTGCATGCACCAACAAAAAGGAGAAGCATATTGGGGTCCTTGTTTATTTTTATTTCCTTTTTTGTCTTGATGTTGTTGTTTTTTTCTTGTGTCTTCAATAAACAATTACAAATGAACTTATAGATTTAATACCTTACTCTCCACCCGATCCCTACACCACCCAAACCTCTTCGAGTGTGTGTGGGTGTTTGTGTGTATGTGCTTAACATCCTCTTGCAATGGCAAAGGATATGGAAAATATTGGTTACGTTTTTGTGGTTCCTGAAGAGCTCTCATCTCTTCTTCTACGAAATTCTCTTTTCCATGTAGCTCAGAGAAGATGAATGTGAATGGTTGTATATCTATGTATGCATGTGTGTGTGTGTGAGTTGTTATTTTGTATTTTATTATTAGAAATGCAGTATGCATTTCCACACACACACACACACACACACACATAAACACATATATTATATAGATTGCTGCTTAAAAATGTAAGTATCTCCCCGCCTGAGCTGTAATGGTGTGTGTATGTCCCTGTCAGTGTGTCTGTGGTAGTATAAACGTAAATAAATTTAAATTCAAATGCAATCAATTGTAAATGTGTGTGTGTGGGGGAGAAAAGGAATAAAAATAACAACAAAAACAACACCATACAAAAAACAATTCCGCATCAATATGCATAACAAAAGGATATTGAATTCCATAGCTAGTGCCACAGCTCCAACGATTACCTCCACTTTCTCTCTCTCCCCCTTGCGCTCTACTTTTTCCTCTCTCCATTACTTTACAAAAATAAACAGAGCATGTAAAACTTGATTACACACGCTTTGGCATGCAA